TGGTTCCGATAGTTACAGGGCTGGCGATATTCATTCCTATCACTATCGGAGTGTTAATATTTCTTGTTCTCAAGAAAAAAATACAGTGGTTAAAGGGTAAGTTATGCATTATAATTTTTCATTACAGTATGTGGTTTTGTATAAGGTTCTTCGATACACACAAGCTTTTTGGTCCTAATGCACTAAAAGCTCTTCATGATAATGTGACAATGTTTGTTCAAATTATTTTAGGGAATCATCCGACACCACGTCAGCCTGAAGAAACGGAAGAGAGTCAAAAATCGGAGAAGCCAGTCTGCGCTGATCCTCTGGTACAGGGCTGTGTTGTCTGTGATGTGTTGGATGAGTGATGAGTGGATTGAAGGGAGCAGGGCTGGAGGAAGGGTCTGCCCACACTTTCTCATCATCCTCTATCCCTGCTCCAAGACTTTTCAATGATTCCAGATTGGGTGGATGTCATTAAAAATAATTTGAGCAACTCATAAGTTGAATCAAAACTACATGTGTTGCATTGCAGTGGGGAGGTTGTATTTAAATACTTTTTCTTTTGCAGGTGCAGTCACATAGTTCTAAACCTACTCCTGGGATTACAATGCTTACAGAAACATCAGGACTCCTGAGAAGCTCTTCAGACTTCAAACTGCCATTAGGCTGAATGAACAGGCTTTGTGTGCAAGAAAGTGGACTTTAAAAAGACTGTCTTCACTTGCCTCTACAGCTCTAGTAAAAAAAACTGAAGAGTTAATGGGGCTCATGGGTTTATTCTCCTTCTGTTGTGTCTACATGGCAAATACGTGATATATTTTTGATATACAATAAGCTTCTTAGCTTGTATTTCAAACATGTTTCTTTTAACACAAAATAATTAATAACACGAACTAAATCCCCACTATAATACATTTCAGCTGCAATAAACTACAAGTAGTCCTTTCATGTTTCCGTTCAACAAATACTACGGTCTAACTCTGGGGTAGTCGGTGACGCCTTTTATATGTGCAGCCTATCGGGCGACCTCTAGTGGCAGGCGGTCGGAAATGAAACATTCCGCCATTTCTAGTCTAAAACCGCTTAAATACCTTTTACGTTGGTTAGTTATTCTTTATGCTAGATAACAATAATGCTTTATTCTGTTACATTTTATAATACTCATTGTTCTTCTTATTCTTATTATGCCACTTGCATAATAAAATTCGATTTATTTGAGATGCAAAACAAAATTAATGGAGAACACAGCAGCAGAATTGATGTATTTGTCTTAAAAAACAAGAAATGCTTTCTTTTCTGATTATGAAGCTAGGCAATGTTACTTTCAGTACCAGTGTGGGGAATTTAGAAAAAAAAGAAGGAAATATTCTAAAATGACTTTTATTCTGATTTCTTGGCATGTAAAAATCAGTTTATCCTTTTTTTCATTTCCAAAAACATATAGTTTACTCAGTGAGAGAGGAGAAGTAAGCAAGATTACCAAGCTGATGTCATACACTAATTGACAATTAATTTGGCATTGACTGAATTTCAATTCTGATTCACATGAATACAAAATTAACTAAAAAGTATTAACTTAATTACACTTAACAACATAATTTTGTATAAGAATTTAACTCCTGTGATCTTTTCTGCCATATATAAAATGATTTGATTTGTAGTACTGAAAAGACTCAAGACACAAAACAGGAATTAACTGAATTTTGGGAGGGATAAAGACAAACCACAAAACTCTCAGCTACATTACACTACATTACACAATTCCTGATGTTAGCTATAGGTATACATTACTTTTTATTACTACTACCTCACTTTTTACTTATTTTGTCTCATGCATCCATCCTCCACCTCATTTCCACCTTGGTTAGCTCCTAAGGGGATCTGTCCTTCCTAGTAAATGAATTCCTTTTCTACGGAAGCGCATTGATGACACCAGGTAAAAAAATAATAATTCTGAGTTATCTTAGATTAATGTGTGACATTAATTGTCTCGTAATTAGCAGTTAACAGATTATCTCTTAATTAAGAGATAGCAACATGCGTGTATGAACCACCTGTTAAATTTGCAATGACAGGATTTATAAACCGTCGATAGGTTTGCTAGTGCTGTGGGTTTAGTGTTCTTGACGGTCTGCACAGATTGACTTTCCACTTGGATTTATTCAGAATTTATTCAGGGACCTCATGGTTAACACTGTTAACACTGCATGATGGTAATGTAGGCATAGTATTAATAATTATTATAATTGCTTATCCACTCAAAGCGCTTTACAGGTAATGGGGACTCCTCTCCACCACCAATGTGCAGATTGGTAATGAGCCAATGGGAAATTTGGCCAAGACGCCGGGGTTACACTCCTACTCTTTTTGAGAAACGCCCTGGGATTTTTAATGACCACAGAGAGTCAGGAC